CGGTCCCCGCCGCCAGGGCCCCTGTCACCGCCGGGGGCAGCGGGGCAGCGGGTCCCGCCCGGCGAGGGCGCCTCGGGAAGGCTGCACGTACGAGGGCGAGAAGGGGAGGGGACCGTCTTCCTCCCTGCAGGCGGAGGAAAAGTTGCAGGAGCCGGGCATGTTAATAATTAGCCGGAGCGGGGCTCGGGATGCCGCAGAAAGCTGTTAAATGTTTATTGCCCTCCAAGAACGGCAAATGGCATCGCCGGTGAGTTTCGGCAGCGCCGTGCTATCCGGGGGGCTTCGGGGAAAGGGTGCGCGGATCGGCTCCAGCAGGCTGACGAACCGGGGCAGGGAGGGTCGGAGGAGGCGGGCACCACCCCGGGTCCCGGCTCGCCCGGCAGGGATCGAGTCGCCAGCCCAGGTCGGAGGCAACGCTGCGGCCACAGCCAGGTGCTGCGCGCCGTGCGCGGCGCCCGCCGGCCTGCGGGAGGGCGGCCGAGACCCGGCCCCTCTGCGCAGTCCAGACGCGTTGGGCTGGAAAATGGTTGCGTAGCTCTGTGGCTCGCACAGTAGGTTCTCCAGAGGACAAATCGTACTTCATGAAACTGTGTCTTGTATCTGCGCCTGCATCCAGTTCTGTCTGCTGCCTCGTTTTAATCAGCGCTTGGGAAGGCTGGGTCTGCATTCGATGTTATATAATTGGCACGGTTCGCCATCAGATATTTTCACGTGCACTTTTGAAATGAAAGGAAGCTGCGTCTGTCTCTTCGGAGAGGCCCAAGGTGTAGCCGGGGGAGGGTTGCTCATGTTTGCCCTCCTCCGGCTCCAGATGTGTGAGCTCAGCTGTCGCCTGTCACTTAGGTGACAACTGGCCCTTTCTCGCTAAGCCTGTGCTGTCTGCATTCTCCTCCTCGGTGAGGTGTGAGCCTTCAGCCGCTCAGCTGGCTTTCCAGTAGGGAGAGCGCGGGACCCCAGCCCCTCTGGAGGGGGCAGCCTTGTATGACTATCCGCCACGGTATGTCTGTTTTCAGAACAGAAGAAGGAGGAAAAACAAATCCCATGACAGCAAGATGGGTGCATTTTTAACTGGGCAGCAACTTAATCTGAAAATTCTGCTTTAACCAAGACGGCTCTGTATGGATGACGCAGTATTTGTGAAGCGGTTTTCTCGGGAACAATATTTACTCCCACCAGGGGATTTTTAAACTTACACAACAGCTGCTTATCTGGCGGGGTGGCGGAGCCCGGCTCATTCCGCCTCTGATGTGGTCCTAGCTTAGGTGACCGAGCTTGGCTGGGACAGAAATCTGTCACTGTAGCCAGCTGGAGCCTCAGAAAGCAAAATACAGCACCTGCTGGTCGCGGAGGGTCTCAGAATGCCATGGGCGGGCGAGTCAGGAAACACAGAAGGGGTTATTTTACAGGCTCTTCCAGTAGTGTTTATAGAAGGGATTTAAGGTTGGCAGATGCGCGTGCTCTGCAGTTCAGACCCGAGAGACGCTGGAGGTCGGTGGGCGCTGCTCGCAGTTAAGGGACGGCACATTTGCTGACGTCATGACTGACAGCGATGCTATGTATAAATAGCCTTGAAAGGCAGAAAGGACAGAAGGAAGGAGGAGAGGAGCAGAGGAGGGGGGGATGGTGCGCAGAGGTAGACGGAGTGGTGTGGTGAAGGGGTCTAGTGAACTGATGAACCATCCTGCACCTGGTACTAGTGGGTGACTTAGCAGAGTGAGCCTGCAGGTTCACAGATTTGTAGACGTGAGGGATTTCGCTAAAGTGACAGGTTCACCCAGTTCCACTGTAACCCCAGCGACGCTTAAGAGTCCGTTAAGTCCTATCACCGGGGCGCACGGGACCACCATCTGTCACCACAGTAAAAGGGACTGCTGGGAGCCAGCCGGGCCATGGAGTAAAGGCTAGCATGAGCTGAGAAGAAAAATAACTCTTGTAGGGTCAACAGCTGAACTATCATAGAGCTGGTCCTAGTAGTTTCTCCGAGGATAACTGAAAAGACCAGAAAAGCCAAATTTGTAACTTCCTTAAGGATTTTCTAAAGTAAGCCGACATGGAAGTTGTAAAAGTATCCTAATTTCTCCAGACGTGGTGGCAGAGGCCTGTAATCCTAGCAGCACTCAGGAGGCTGAGGCAGAAGGATCTCTGTGAGTTTAAGGCCAGCCTGGGCTACAAAGTGAGTTCAGGGCCAGCCTGAACTGCATAGTGAAATCCTGTCTCAAAAAGACAAAAAAAAAAAAAAGTATCCTAATTTCTCGAAAACCTATAATTTCTCGAGCGCAAACTACAGAGAGGTCAGTCCTGTGAGTGACTATAGTAGTCATGAGCTGGAGTAAGGACTAATTATCTTCCAGTAATTAAGTAACTATCTAAAATGATCTATGGCCAAAAAATAAAATGATCTATGCCTATATTTGGGTGTTTTGGGGGGCCTGTTTTTGTTTTGGTACCAGGAATTGAACTCAGGACCTTGTGCTTGCCAGGCAGGCACTTATGCCACTGAGCTAAACCCCTGGCCCCCTATATCTATATTTGGGATTGCTTATTATTAAAGAAAAGAATTTGCAGTAAAGATTAGAATAAAAAAGATTATCATTTAATTGCATTCTAGTCACCGCAGCTAATTTCCTGGTTAAAGTGGTTTATAAAAAGTTTCCTTTTAAAGAAGGGAAGTAAACTGGGTGTGGTGATCCAGGCCTGTAGTCCCAGCTAATCAGGAGGCTGAGGCAGGAAGATTCAAGTTCAAACCCAGCCTGAATGACTTAGTGAGATCCTGTCTCAAAATAAAATACAAAAGGCTGGGGGTGCAGCTCAGCACTAGACCACCGGCTTAGTAGGCATAAGTCCCTGAGTTTACTTGTCAGTACCATGAAAATAAAATTAAATTTTTAATTAAAAGTTAATCAGTAAATAAAAGTAAAGAAAGATAGTAATTTTCAAAGTCAGAGTGATTGTTACAGGTGCACAGAAATGTTAAAGATGTCACTTGACCAAGATAAGACTTCTCCTCCTCCTCGTCTTCAGAAAAATGCCCCTCTGTTTGGTCCATGTTATATAAAATAGCATCAGTGTTTAACTTTTATTAGCGTGAGAGGCTTAAGAATTGCTTCAGTCCGAGTGCAGTTTTCCCACAGTGAGGAGGATGAGCTGGGAGAGTGAATGCCTCGTGTTCCGGGCTGGCTAGTGTTCCAAGGGGCCCTGGATGCCTTTCCAGTGATAACGGAATAAAGGGCTCGGGCAGCGTCTGGAGCCAGGCTCCACTCCCAGTGCCACGGACCAAGGTGGCACAAGGGACCCGGGCTTCCCCGCCGTTGGCCGGGCACACAAGAATGCTGCCCCAGCCGCCGCCCCCTTGCTGCTCCGAAAGGGGCTGACACCCAGGGTGTTGGTGATGCACGCCTTGGAGCAGCAGGAACCGCTTGGGCACCGAGGCAGCCTTTCTTCCTCTGCCCTCTTTCCTGATGAGGGGCTTTACAGGCTGGGGCGTGCTGACATCATGACGCTCCTGGCACAGATCACAAGAGGACACTCGAGTCACTCTCCTTCGTGCCAGAATGACACGGTTTTCCCAAGAGCTGTTGCTGAGCCCCCTGTCACCGGCCCTGTTTCCTGTGACCGTACCGGGGGGATCAGACCTCCGGAGGAGAATGGGATCATTCTTCCCATGTCTCTGGTTTGTGTGCATCTGGAGAGTAAACGCTAAATGTGTCTGGGTCACTTTCAGAGGGGTCGGTTGGAACCAGAACGACTGCCCAGCGTGAACTGATGAGGCCCTGTCAGGTTTGTTTTCCTAGGAAGAGACTGTACATTTAAAATAAAAGTAAAAATGCAGGTGCCAGTGTAAACATTGGAAAAGTCAGAGCTATAAACAAGCACGCAGCTGTCATTTACCTTTGCTAAACTCCCTGCCCTCCTCTGGTACCTAGGTTGGGTCCTAAGTGATCCTAAAACTCTACTGGCCTATCAAACTGGAGTAGCAGTTTCCTGGCTGGTAGATTTGGGGTAGGCTCTCTCAGGAGAGATGCGTGTCATTTCTGGTAGAGCACACTTCAGGAGAAAAGTTAAGGTTGTGTTATTTCAGTTGTTCTGGTGCTACAATCATAGACTCCCTTCTCGGAGTTGTCTCTCAGTTGCTGATTTATAAAACCCACCACCTTTTTTTGGTGGCCTTCTTTCTGGAAAGGCAGATTGGCCATTAGTGCCCTGGAGAGGCTGCAGTTAGATGCAGCCCGGCGCGTGGATGGTGTGGTCAGCCGCCCCTTTATCTGAGGCGCTGATCCCGCAGCTCACAATTATGGTCTTTGACTTCGGTAACAATTCTGTTTGAAATGTTTCCCGTTACACACAATATTGGCTGCATGTAGCAGCTGCATGCCAAAAAGCATTTCTAAATGTGTTCCAAGAGTCAGGATGCGATTGCTTTTAATTTAAATAAAGGCTATTTGGTTTCCTGTGATGTTTTATATAACCATCTTTTCCTCCACGTGTGTTGCCTTTAAAAAAAAAAAAAGAAGTCTACTGTAAAGTAGCCACCACTCCATGTGATAGAATATTGGCCTGGTTTTCTATGATGCCATTTGCTTTGAGGGGACTTTTTAATAAAGGAATTTTAAAGAAACGTTGTAATGCAATTTGGATTTCCCCAAAGAAGGAAAGGGGAAAAGGTTATCTGATAGCATATTGTAAGTAGCTCATGTTGTCAAGTTTTCGTACCTCCCTCTTTAGGGACCTGTCATAATTGGGTATCTTTTTAGATCACCAGATATCACCCAATCCATTGTCTTTTCTTTTTTTTAAGATTCCTCTGTTTTCTCTTGGTAGATCCATAAAGAGGTATTTTTAAAAAAAAATCTTAAAAGGATACAGAAGGGTTAATAACATCCTTTAAAAAAAGAAAAAAGAAAAAAGGAGGAACCAGCAAGTAAATTCACAGTTCTGCGCGAACTAAACCCTCCAAATCTGCCTCCTTTGTGGGTTTGAAATTTTTGAACACTGAAACCCTTTAAAACTTTGGTGACTCAATCTTTTACCAGCTACCAGGTACATTTGATTTATTAAGTCTGAAAATAAGAAAATATACACTCTCAGGACTTGGAGGGACTGGATTGTAATAGGGCCGGGAGCTCTGTTTTCAGGACTTGTTGGCCTACCTGAAACAGAACACCTGGAGCTGGAGCGCTTGTGGGTGAGGTGCTAAGATGGTGCCAGTTAAGGTGTTTTCACACGGGCCCTTTCAGTCCTGGCAAACAC